TTCAGCAGCTCGGCCTGAGACTCCACCTCGGCCTTCAAAGTCTCCACCTCAGAGTGAGCCTTCAGCAGCTCATCCTTCATGGTGGAAGAAGCAGCCTCCAAGGCAGCGGAGAACTCCTCTTTCTCCCTCGCTGCCAGAACTTCCCTCCCATCCAGCTCGGCCTTGACAGCCAGAGCCGATTGAATGGAAGCAACGAACGCCTGCGAAATGGTACAARGGAAAAGTTAGATCGAACTDCCTGTTGGGYGAAATCAAGCAAAAATGGGGCACTAGWCTKACCTCGGCGGCGTAGTCGATGKTCCTCTRCAGAACGGACCCRGGGKCGCTCACAAATTTGGACGCCCTCCTCAGGCAGCGGTCCAAACTTGCAGCTGAGATGCGGGACACCTGGTCCCTCACCCCGGAACTTGACGGCTCAATTCTGAACCGTGCCGTCACGTCGGACGTCCCGCCCATCCTGGCCGCAGGATCGTCCACCCGATCTGCAAAACCTGCAGGCAAGACCCTGCAAGCTCCGACCTCCGAGGAGGAGATCGCCTTCTTYTTCTTCCTACGCTTCGGAGGGGTTTCCAAAATAATAGTATCCTTAGGAAATGCTTTCTCTTTGAGTAAATTTAGCCAAGCTGACTCAGAGAAATGATGCATTGCTTTTGAAATGTAATGGTGATCGGAAATGCAAGAGATCTTTCGAGTAGTCACCCCTAGCCTAGTCAGCTTCATGCAAAATATTTCTACGATGACCAGAGAAATGAGCCTATGAAGCAGAAGATTCTTAATAAATGGAAGCAAGGAAGTAGAATATTGAAATGATCATCAAGTTAGCTTACTCATTTGGTGGAACAGGACGATTACAACAAAATTCCTACTGATCGTTACAAATTATAGTTCTAACTTTTCAATTGTCGATATAATCACCAGCTAAACAAGCAGTTATAGATCCAACTATGGGTACAAATTGAACTACATGTTATACACATAAGCATTTAGCACAAGTGACCATCATACAACTCAATCTTGAATTTCACTACTATACGATTTTGATCAATGTCAAAAGTCTTATAAAAATGGTCTAGTTCTACTTAGTTCTCCTTATGTTAACTATAAAACGGTTAGTAATGCTTTCAATGATTTCATGATATTATTTCTTTTTTATCTTTACATTCCCAAGACATCACAATGGCAAGGGGTGGGGTAAATAACAGATGAAGTAAGGAGGAGAAACAAGCAAAAACATAGAAAAAGTTGAATTTAATATGTCCACCTTTCGAGCTCTTCAAGCATCCAATATCATCCACATATGCCGTTTTGGATTGAAGTGATACTTATAAAGAAACTTTTAGTTATAGAAATTGTTATAGTAAATACTCACCAAAAATTATAGTGGTTTGATCCAACAATGATCTACATCCACTTAGGCATCCACTAATTGATCAATGCACGATATATCCAGCATTTGAGTATTTTAGTTTCCTCTCACCAATACCCAGTACATTTAGTCAATCACATACCTAAAATACAAAATGGAGAAAAAATAACCAGTGAGAAAATCAGGAGTATTCATCATATAAAAATATTTAAACAATTAAATCCAAAATTTTAGTGCCACACAATGAATTAATTGTATTTCATCGTCCAAACATAAATCTAATTATCAAAACAGGTAATTGATCAAAATCAAGGGGAAACAACAATCCGACCAGCGACTTGATCAAGATGTCATCGACCACTTGAAGTGATATAGCAGGTGGACTAAGATGGCTGGATTTGACTTAGAAACAAGAGAAGAGTGTCACAAAAGGACAAAGAAAAAACCAATATTCGTTAGAGAGATCGTGATACAATCTCCTCCCCTCAAGCCAATTTAACATAAAGAAGTAAGAAAAAAGAAGCATATAGAATATGATTTTTCACTTCTCAAATTAAAAAAAAAAAAAAGTTCTAGTATTCCTTCCTTTCAAGACACCGAAATCAATCCCCACCTTTAATTATTGCTTGCTAAAAGCATCAATTGTAATTCAAATATTGGTGATTGATGTAGTTCATTTCCTGCGAGGAAGAGTTTGGGGTTTGAAGTTATAGTTTTGTCAACGATTGCATATTAACAGTAAAGTGATAAGGGGTGAAGTAGCATATAAAATATAGACGTATCAGCAATTTCATTTCCTGAAAATGCATTGGAGATACAAATTTAAAGTCGTGTATTGTTAAATAGAACAAATCAGTAATGAATATATAAGCCACATCATGGATAGACTTCAGCCCATTCCAATCTTAGACAAGTAAAAAATGTATTTTACCCCACCTTTATTTGACCTTTATTAAACTTCAACTCCTAGCAAGAAGAAGTGGGATAAAAATAAGAGCAAATTTTTTCTGCAGTGCGCAATTAATAGTGCGATTCATGCATTTAACAAACTATACATCAATTATCTATCATTCAAATAATATATACTGTATATAAATGAGGCTGTGGAGGAGAATCTTTTGCTTTTCATTTTTGCCCCACATTTTTTAATATATACGTATTTTACCCTTGAAACTTCTACGGGACATGACTATTCGAAGATGTCTGTTGAGATAAATTAATCTAAAAGAGATGCGACTGTTTAATTAAGCGACGATGCATCTATTCACGTATATGTGTGATTGCAAACCACCTATAAAAGAAAAGAAACTCATGTATTTTTTTATTTTGCCCAAAACTCATGTTCGAGACACTGTAAAACTTCCTTGTGAATTGTGTGGCTGGGCGAAAACAAGTAGTGCAGGTGATTGATAATGATGAAAGAAAATGAAAGTAACAAGAGTTGTGAAAATTGGAGACCTCCATCAGTGGCAATGAAGACGACGTTGGCGTCATATATCTGTGATTGAAGGTTTGTTTTTTCTATACTTACTATATCTAAATGGGGGCATCTTTATCTCCCGATTTTGCTCCCAACTTTTTAAGATATACCAAGTTTACCCTTCATCTATATTATATATTATTCCATGTACCTCTTCTACTGGATGCTATTATTCGAATGAGGTCTATGTTTAGAGAAGTAGTACGTTGAAAAGGTATGACTATTCTTCCTTTACAAATCATTTATAGATACAGTGCGTTCGTTGATGAAGAGGTATGACTGTTTTCCTTGACAAACCATTTATAAGAAGAAAGAGTGTAAATTAAAAACTCATATCTTCTTTCCCCGAAAATGTCTACAAAAATCTTTCTTTTATCAAAGAACTCATACATTTCCAAAAGGATTGGAAATTAAAAGTTTATGTTCTTCGTATGGGAAACATTGAAGCATGCTAAAATCAAAAAAATTAGTTTTAGCCGATGAAGAGGTAAATTATAAAAATTGATATGAATTATGAACGTTATGTTTTATAAATTCATGTAAATTAGTGTATTGTTATCATATTCTGAGTATTATTTTTTATAAACTGACAATTTTTGTTTTCTTTTTAATTATTTGTTTTTGGATCCCTATAAAATTATATTTAATATTTGTACTTGTATGTTCTTTTCATGATCTTTTGAATTTTTTATTTTATGTTTATATTTTTTTTAACCTAAGAGAGAAATAAGCATGACAGTACACTTTCATGGCAAAGATATCTTCATTCTTCATTCTTCATTTAACTCTTCATTCTTCATTTAACTCTAATGAAGATTCAAGTTGAGATAAATTTAAGAATAGATAAAAAAATTGACTATATAAGGCATTCTTTTTTCTGCAATTCAGCCATAGCAGTTGTAAGACAATACCTCTATCAAAAGAGACTACAAGTTCGTCTAAATTGTTCTCATGATTTTGTCTATTTCGTCTGCTGAAAAAACATCCATCTTCATCGGCCACGAGCTGAGATTTAAAAAAATATATATATATTGTATTTATTAATTTTAATTTTTGGATTTCTAAATTGATGTTAATTACAAGTACCTACGTGATCAAGTATCTGTTTCCTAACTACTTTTAGATTATGTGTTTATATTTTTTTATTTTGTATATCTGAATTCCAAAATCTATTTAATCTATTAAAGAGGTAGACTATAAAATAATGAAGATTTAACTTTTTAGTTTTTTTAGATTATTTTAATCTTTTATGTAGATTATTTTCAATTATATTCATGATACCTTCGTGTTTTAATATTTAGTTAAGATTCTTTTCAAGTTTAATTTAATATTCCGTTAATCTTTTTTCAAGCTTTAAAATATATTCATGTTATATTTTAGTATTAGTTTTATTTATCTTAATATGTCTTTGTTCCTATTTTATTTTTCTTTGTCGTGTGATTCTTTATCTCATATTCTTTATCATATTCTTTATTTTCCTTTTATCATTCAGTTTCTTTTTAAAATTTCAATTCTTTAATTTCTCTTATTTGAGATTTTATTTTTATATTTGAAAGGTACAATATCATTTATATTTATCATTTTAAAAATAAAAAAAATGATATTTGATTGATCAATTTTCAATTTTAAAAAGTAGCTTAAGAGTAATAAACGGTCAATTTTATTTATTCCTATTATAATTTTGACTATCTAACAAATAATTTAATTGTTTGGATTTTTAGTTACATAATTTGATTTAATGTATCATGTCTTAGATTTACTTATTTTTAAATTTATAAAAATATTTTTAATTAAAAGTTGATAACCACATTTATTATTTCAAATTTAGATCATATTCAATGTTTTCTATGCATCTTATTTTATTGTCTTATTTTTTAGTTGGAATACTGTATTTTTTATATAAAATATCAATGAATACTAATATATTTTATTTGAAAAACTAAATATTGGTACCATTTAAAAATTCAATTTAGTTGTCATTCTATAGGTTAAATGTTAGAGACATTATATTAAAATATTTAAAACCACGTGCAATGTACGTGATATTAACTAGTAGAGTATCAAAATCAGTGAACGTGGTCAACACATTCACTCTAAAACTTAGCCAATGCACAAATACAAACCAAATAAAATATATCTCAAGGAATCATGCTCGTTCCGAAATCAACTAAATTATATGTTTGCATTAAAATAGCAAATTAAGAACATACCAATAAAATGACAACTACGATAAATGAAATATAGGATAAAGTACAAAATACCTCTAAACTTTCGTCATTGTTTGGTTACTATGCTGTTTAAATTTGGCAAGTAAAAACTTGCAATCTTCCACCAATAGCTTCTAACTGGAATTTCAATCAATGCTACACTAGCTGGACAAAGACAAACTACTCATAAGAGAAACTTCAAGAGGAAACTCACTAGTTTACAACGTCATTCATAAATTTACAGCAACTATACAATTGGACGAAATTGGCAACAGCACCTAACCTTAAGTAATTGACAGCAACCCCAGATTTACACTAAATAAATGGAAGTTTACCACTATATAATGAAAGAATGAAAAAATAAATTTAAACGCAAATAATCATGTCTTCTTTTTGCCCTAGTCACCTCTATCTTACTTCATTCATAAATTTACCTCAATACAACTATACAACCTCAAAACTCGAAGAAATTGACAACAACACCAAACATTGAAATACTTGATAGCAACCCCAAATTTACATGAATAAATTGAAGGTTACAACTAGAATGAAGGAATGGAGGAATAAATTCAAACAAAAGTAAAACTTTTTT